ACACACACACACACACACACACACACACACACACACACACACACACACACACACACACACACACACACACCTCATTGTCTTTTCTTTATGCAACAGGCACCACATTTTTATAAATTATATAATAATGATTAAATTGACTGATAAAATTGACTTGAATACTGCAGTCCATCCATCCATCTTCTCCCGTTTATCCGTGGTCGGGTCGCGGGGTAGCAGTTCCAGCAGAGAGCCCCAAACGTTCCTTTCCCTGGCCACATCAACCAGCTCTGACTGGGGGATCCCAAGGCGCTCCCAGGCCAGCGAAGAGATATAATTCCTACACCCTTGGCCTCCTCCCAGCTGGACGTGCCTGGAACACCTCCCTAGGGAGGCGCCCAGGTGGCATCCTTACTAGGTACCCGAACCACCTCAACTGGCTCCTTTCCACGCGAAGGAAACACTGCAGTATTCGCTCCTTCACGAATACTGCAGTGTTTACCTGAAATAGAAACACTTCAAAATATGGCTGGACGGTTCTTCTACGGACAACATTTTCATTATTATTCCGCCGGGTTATTTTGGCCCTCTTCTCCTCCCGCATTGAACATCGCAGAAACTCCGTTCAAACATCAAAACGTTCAGCTCGGTCGGGAATCGATTGCTATTACTTTTCTCATTCATAAATTTCATAATTCCAGAGATACATCCCATAATACATCACATTTTTAACATTGAAGTCAATGGAGGAAATCGTCAGACTTCAACAAATCTTCATGCGACTTCAACTGCTAACTGTTCATTCAAACTTTCACTGAGAAACCTCATTCCAACTTTAATTTTAGAGATATTAAACATTGTTCAGACTTTATTTTAGAGGTTTTCTTCACATTTTAACATTAACTAGAGTGTGTGATGTCACAGCTAGAGTGGAGGACAGCTTGAAATTCGCATTCATATATATTTTTTAAAACTGCCCTAATTCCCAAACTCCTACATTCTTGAGACCATAATTTATCATGACAAACGTAGCATAATTTATCATGACAAACGTAGGAAAACATCTCGTAGCTTGAAAAATTACAAATAATTAAGCAGAAATAATTAAACAAAATGCTTTTTGAGGGCATGAAGTGACAAAACAACATTCCTCCATTAAACCCCATTGTAATTTCAGGCAGATATTTCCTCACGGCAGCAGTCAAACTGCCAAAAAGGCCACATTATTAACCCGAAACTACACAAAAAGCACACTTCAGATACTCAACTTCCTTGACATGTTTCATGTTTTGAAATTTCACAGATATCTGTTAAGGTTCTTCCACAAAACGTTCACATGTAAGAGGTTTATCTCTCATTCAGAACAATGAAGCCTTTGATCTCTACAGAGCTCGTTAGCTCAACTATAAACACCTGTGTAATGGAACACGATGATGTCATCACTCCAACTGACATGCTCAGAGCAGCAGACTTCAGATAGCAGTGTGCTAACAGTCCAGCCGTGAAGACATCTACAGGACAGTTTTGAGATTTCTTCAAATGCCGTTGCCATGGCAACACAATGCTCGCCTTGAAACACGGTTTTCTCATAACTTCAGTGAAAATACTCATAACAGCCTAGAACTACACAGGTTTGGTAACGATGCAGCCATCAACGCATCTAAGCGTAGTATGGGGTGTCATAAATGCCGTTGCCATGGCGACGGACCACTCGCCATGAAACACGATGTGGCTGTAAATCCAAACGACACGGTCCAATCGTCCCCCAATCTTCACTTGTATATCACCGGTCCATGCCTCAACAGCTCTACGCCAAATCTGAGATCTCACCATAATCAGTTTCCATGGAAACGCATCCCTCGCCATAAAACATGATGTCGCTATAACTCCTATGAAAATCTTTAAAAAGCGCTCAAACTTCACATGTGTACTAACAGTCCAGCCATGAAGACATCTACGGGACAGTTTTGAGATTTCTTCAAATGCCGTTGCCATGGCAACACAATGCTCGCCTTGAAAAACGGTTTTCAAAAAAATTCTGTGAAAATACTCCAAACAGCCCAAAACTTCACAGGTTTGGTAACGATGCAGCCATCAATGCATCTAAGCGTATTAAGGGGTGTCGTCAAATGCCGTTGCCATGGCGACAGATCATTCGCCATCAAGTTAGTTCACAAGTTTGCAGTTCAAATATTCTGCGGCTTTTCCAAGCCTTTTTACTTTCTTTTCTTCTCTCATCACACATTCAAGCCCCCACTGTTCATGTATCATTTTAATCTAAATTCTTCACTTTCTTCTTACACATTACATTTCAGCATAGCAGTTTAGCATCACATTTTCAGCATAAAGCATTCCCACTAGCAATTTCTTCAGGAATTGCATTCTCTAGTTAAATATGATATAGTCTCAGTGGAGACTTATTGTGATGTTATCATAAATCAAGATATTTGAAAACATCATTTAAGTCCATGATTTAAACAACGTGTGTGTTTTTGTGTAAAAGTGAAGATACTGTTGAATGTTATTACAGCTGTAAACTCTACATCCTTTTTGTTTTCGTGTCACAGGAGGTGCTGACCTTTGCAGCGTGTGACTTTGATATGAGTGTACACTCAGCTCTGCTATCAAAGGCTAATCAGTGCAGTGCTAACGCTGGTATGTGACCGTTCAGCTGTGGTGTAACACTTATCCCACAGATTACTTGGTAATGATATGAAAGGAGAGTATAGGTCAAAAGCCGTGATAATCCAAGTATGGGTCAAGAACCAAATATTTTTGCTGAGCCAGTAACATTTATTTGAAACTAATACAAAGCCAACAATAAGGATGGCTTTCCTTACAGACAAATTAGAAACTTCTACTGTTTCTTTGTTGTCATTTAGCAAAAATCTATTAATTGGATGTTTTTTTTATATTATCGGAAGAGGGTATTAATTCCTTTATTGCAGCAGTACAATAACACAACAAACACAATACCATTAGTAGTGCAAGGGAGATACAAATACAACAAATCATGGTGGCTTTAAAAAGGAAACTCACCTTAACAAGCATTATAAACAAATACAAAACTTATCCAAATAACAAAAGTGACCAAAAACAAACAATAAAAAAAAGTGGACAGCATAAATCAAACAAAGACATTAAATAAATAAAACAATGAGCAGCACAAATGGCTGTGTGCATTGTTGCTTGTGAGTCCCTTCAGGTGAGACTGCTTTCTGCCAGGTGAGGAGAAACCACGCATGATGCTTACTGACCACTCAACAACAATTTCAGCTACAAAAACCGCAGGACTGAGGGAATTTGGAATTCCACATTTTGGGGAAAAGAATAAACACACTAAGAAATATTTTTTACTTCTCCAGTTTCTTCCTGGCCACCGCTGCAGTGAGGGCGGCCCCCGTCCCGCTGCCTCCCTCTGATGGCAGGAAGCTCACGGTACATTGAGGAGCCAACATGTTGACAGTCTGCTGGAGGACTCCAGAGAAACTAAAAAACAGCAGCAGCAGAAGAAAAAACTGTTAATTCTTTATCAATTTAAGTAATTTGGAAAAGCAATATAAAGAGAAATCAAAAACTAAATATAATAATAACAATAGATTTAATCAGTATCGCTTTTCAAGGGACCCAAGGCCGCTTTACATGGTGAACAAACAAACTAACTAACAAAAGGGGCAAATAATAAAGTAAAACAGTTAAATAAATAGCAGTAGGAGTGGAAGCAGGGGGACTGTGATGGGTTAGGGGTCAAATATAAATAGTTTTGTGCCTGAAGCATACCACGACTACAACACCTGAAACTAACTCACTGTGGATGTAGTTTGTAGAGTGACCCGTCCACCCCCACAGTGATGTCCAGATGGTCCAGTCCTCGGTTCTCTCTGATCTTGTCGACCACGGCGGCCAGCCCTGCTCCACAAAGCTGAGCTGCTCGATGGGACACTGCCCCACAAACCTGTACAACAATGAAAAACATGATATCACTGCAACACTTACTGTACTGACTGTTGCTGCTACAGTTTGCTCAGCCAAACAATACCATATCACTTCTCAAGCAGCAGATCATCCCAAAGGGAGGTTGCAACAGAGAACATGATTTTCTGGAAAAAGTATCAACATCTCTTAAAATTTCTCTGGCAATTGAGACAATTTTGAGACAAGAAATAGGCCAGAGGTTGTATGTGAATCTACTGTGATGGAGGCTTTAGTCTTGTGAGATGTAGTCTGACTGTGGGAGGCTACTAAAGTAGTAAAATCGATTATTATTTAAGGTCCTTTACACTCATATTTTAATGATTTCTGGCTGATTTGACTGTGCAAGCATGTATAGACTAATTGATTGACATCTCCCTGTCCCTCCTGCTAGATTGTTTTGCACCAATTGGGCAGGACAAATAACACCTTTGTTATTAATTGGTAAATGAAAATGTGTGGCCTAATATTTTTCCATCCAAGCTTGAGCCCAGCTTCCCCATTGGCAGAGATCTATCAGCCAGAAATACTGTGTGGGAGGCTTTAATATCCAAACTTCATGGAGAATTACTAAAGGGATAGCTATAAGGTTTCTGATTATTTTCTGTCTCTTACCTCTTTGACAATGATGCTGTCGTCACAGGTGCTGTCGAGCCCCAGCTGCTGGAGAACAGATCTGACCTGCAGTAGAGCCAGGCGGTCACTAGGGGGACAACAACACAGTTACACCATTACAGTATGATGCAGCCACACATTTACAATCACACACACTCATAATCTCCACTGGGGCGTCTGCTAGAAATAAGAATAGTGATATAATTTGCAGATTTAAAATGAATTACTTCAGGTGAAAAAGAGAGACATTTATTTTGTGAAATTAGAAATTGTCTGAAAGAAATATGCATACATTTGCAGTTGTAGTTTCGTAAACATACACACCAACATACACCATTGCATTACACACACACACACACACACACACACACACACACACACACACACACACACACACACACACACACACACACACACACACACACACACACACACACACACACACAGGGGTCCACACACACATGAGAGAGACACACACACACACACACA